ACTTAACTAACAATTTGTGCAGAAAAAATTTCACTGAATGCATTGAATTACCAAGACCCACACATACATCAAGAATCATATGCATCTCAACAATGGTGACCATTAAAAATGACTCATGCTGCAATGCATGCTAGGTACTAGCATTATACGAAAACTTATCCATGGCTCCCAGCATGAATTATTTGTAATGGTCACCATTGTTGAGATTCCTCTGCTGAGATCTTCAAAGATTTAATATATTCTTTTATCTTCATTTGATTTCATCTAAGACTGTGTTTGAAGACAGCTGTACTACTTTTGTTTCTCTTTCCTTCTGTGATTCTGCTTGTTAACAGCAGGTGTTCGTCACTAATGCTCAATCACTTAATCACTTAATTCTTGACTGCAATGTTTATCTACTTTTAGTGAACTCAACTGAAATAATTTCATAACTATTGTTTTCATCAACTTAATTGAATTGAGGCAATTGGTTACATCAAATGAAACAAATTATATTATAATATTTAAATTATACATTGTGCAAGGTATCAGTATTGTCTTTATTGTGATGCATTTTTATATCACTAAATAACATGTTTACTATTTAAAATCATTAGTGCTGTGGTGTTTTAATGGTTTCGTGAGAATCACCCATCCACTCCTCGGCACCAACGAGAGGAATGTCTGTACTTCATCCACTAACCACGATTCAGTTCATGCACTTGCGCGTGCAAAGGATTTAAGCGCCTTTCAGACCGAACGCGGAATGCGCAGCGCTTTGAAACCCATTCATTTCAAGGACTTCCAAAGATGCATAACAGCTACAAGTGTATTCAAGTCTATGCAAGCACTATATACAGGATTCACCGTTATTGACACAAATTGACAAGTCAAACAGCAAACAGCCATCCACAAATAGTCTATAATATAGGCTGTCTTTGAGTTAACTTGAACAAGGGTTAAATTACTCGACAGCTACAGAAGAATACCACAATTCCTCCGTTCAATTAGGCCTAAGACATTGAGAGTCAAGCTGACCTATAACAACCCTAGCAACAACATATAATTGGGAATAACATGCCTTACCTTAACACAGAATGAATTTCAAGGACTTTGCGCAGATCAATGGCCTCCAACCTTTATATTTTTTGAATCTTTGAGTTAACATGAATCTTTGAGTTAACATGTATTAAACATGATTGGAATTTGCACTGCAGCGCCACCATACATTGATGCTCATGACAAGAATAGCATGTATAGTTATCTTTTTTGAAGTAAATTAGGTTGAAATTGCAGTCATGCATGAATTAAATATATTTTTTTATGTTTTACACATAATACTCCACGATGATCACATTACACAAAACTGAAATTGCACGTCAAAATAAAACATTGTCAATATTTTTTGTGACCCCCCAAAATTTTAGGAATCACTTTTTCAGAGGAGCCCATGCCATATTAAGGGGAGCCGAGCTCCCCCATAGTTCGCACCCTGTGTGTAACAAATATGAAACATCACAAGTAATGCTCTAAGATTTTTTTTCTTTGAAATTTTTACGAGCCCCAGCTCTCATAAGTTGTCAGTTAGATAGAGGCGGAGCCTGATTATTATACATTCTCACTCTAATAATATAATAACAATGATTATTCCCAACACCTGCAGCCTTTTCCTATTTAAGAGTTCAAGAAAGCCTCAGGAAACCTGTTGTTGGTGGTTTTGGATTTTTTTCCCTGTTTTGTACAGGATGGGGAGTGTTTTAGTTATATTAGTATAGAGGGAAAGCCTAGGTAAGTATGCTGACCCGGAAGACCCTTTTGTGTTTATTTTTCTCGGGAGTTAGGAAAGTTTACTCTAAGTTGTAGTTTAGTTCCGTTAGCTCACCAGTTCTTAACTTCTGTATGTTTATATTTTCCGTTATTCCTTTTTGCTGCCAATTAATTTGATATTAATATTATTAGTTTTTTTTTTGCCCTGGCCATTGTGATTTGTTTTGGAGTTTTTCTGACTGGCTTTGTATGGTGAGCTATTGCCATTTTGCACATATTGACATTGTGTGTGTGCATGCATGAGGTGTTTTTTCTTACAGACGTTGAATCCAGTAGCGCACCACAGTTTAGTCTGTCAACAGCATAGGATGTTCTGTAGCACTATATAAATAAATGTGACTTGACTTGACTTGTAGTGAGTGTAACGTAGGTCTATTGAGTTGTTTTTGTCTTAACCCCTCCCTCCTCATAACTCCCCTCCCCCTCTCACCACAGCTTTCTACACGCTTTTCTTCAGTCTTTTTCAAATCTGAGGTGTGAACGACCGGTGCTTAAGTAAGGGGGGTTTATGACCCTTTTAAGCCTTATCTGAGTAATGTTAATGATTACATTCTATACAAGAACTCGGAGTAAAAATAATATAATAAAAGCTTACCACGATCAGATTTGCTGTTTCAAAGAGTGCAGTTGCTACTTGTGGCCATTTGTGGGTATCGCTTCTCGGCCTTTTGGCTAAGATCAAGTGTAGTATCTGTTCTTATCAGTTTAATATCTGATACGTGCCCTACCCGGGCACCATATATTAAATTGATTTTTGGATCAGGGAGATGGAATAGGGGCTTGCTCCGTCCACTCCACGCATCGACCCGGTATTGCAGTACTTCCGGGAACGGTGCACCCCCCTAATGTTGTTAATGAAAGAAGTCAGTTTAGTCTTGTGTGACAGTAGAGGGTAATAACAGCAGTTCTTGTTGTTGTGTATAGGTGTTTTAAAGTTGTTGAGAGTGGTTTTAGTATTATGTAAATAAATATTAAGTAAGCATTCCATTCCAAGCATAATCATCATTCTACCTTGACTAGTGTATATATAGTATGTATTGTGTAGTGATGCGGCTGACTATCTTCTTTTTTCGCGTGAAACTGTAGGTTTTATTCAATGAGTAACTTGTGTGTGCAAAAGCAGTGGTTCAAAATTAGATTAGTTCCATTTGCCACTGCCGGTAGATGCTGTAACTGCACCATTTCACATGCAAAACACGTCTCTTGCCTGATTGGTGAAGTCGAGTCAAATCTCTATGATTGGTAGAGACAGTCGAGTTTTATTCAATGAGTATCTTGTGTGTGCAAAAGCAGTGGTTCAAAATTAGATTAGTCCCATTTGCCCCTGCCGGTAGATGCTGTAACTGCACCATTTCACATGCAAACACGTGTCTCTTGCCTGATTGGTGGAGTCGAGTCAAATCTTCTCTATGATTGGTAGAGACAGTCGAGTGTTCAGGGAGTCTTAATTTCTCGGCCAGTTGGAAGGTCTAATTGTCTGCAGTCAGCCTAGACAGTACGACTGATGTTAAATCATCAGTCATGTTGTTTTACTAGAGTATAGATTGAGTTTTTAGAGTAGATTGTGATGATGTACCATGTGTAGTGGTGTAGTGAAGTGGCGCCTCACCATGGTTGAGAATGATGTTGCCTTCAGTAACTCCTCGAGAGGGAACGTGTACAACTCATACTTACCTGGCAGGGGAGACACCATGATCATGAAGGTGGTTCACCCAGGGCGAGGCTCAGCCATTGCACTCCGGTTGTGCTGACCCCTGCGAATTCCCCAAATGTGGGAATCTCGACTGCATAATTTCTGGTAGTGGGGGACTGCGTTCGCGCTCTCCCCTGATTTACTGGTACAATAATAGAATTGAAAAATTAATAGAGAGGATGAGTTATTTTTAATCTATATATTAGATCAATGTGAACTTCTCAACCCTCAGGCTGTACTAGTGGGAAGTTTGAATCATTGATTAGGATTATATGGCGCTTGCTTTTCCACTGCTGGTACGGCTTGACGTGGCACAGCTCCGTTCGCTTTAGCTTGGTTTGCTTTTATACTAGATTTTGTACCGCTTCAAAAGGGGTGGGATTATAGTCTGACCATTATAGTTTATCCGCTCCTCGGCACCAACGAGAGGAATGTCTGCACTTCATCCACTAACCATGATTCAGCCATTTCTTTTTTGGAAGTTTTCTTTCTTTTTTTCTTCAAGCAAGTAGTTTTAAAACTCAGTGATGTCATGAGCTACAGCCAATCAGAGCAAGGCATGGGTTGAGGCCACCGGGTAAATCTTAAAAAAAATAAAAATAAAAAATCTTTTTTTGCATTTTTTTTTCTTTCTCAGAGCAAATCATTGCACAAAAAATGTACAGCTCTTGTTTCTGTCTGACGTCCATATTCACATGTTGTGTTGGTCTTCTTAGCTGGGTGTTGGCGCGCATGCTGTTTCGTGTCATTTACGGTTCGTTTTATCACTTGATTTTTCGAGAGAAAATGTGGTTCGTAGACAAGATAGAATCATTGGGTGACAGAGTTTTTGTCAAGTAATGTAGTGCGTTACCTCGTTGCAGATCAATCACGTTGTGCGGTGTGAACAACTCAACAACTTTAAGACTCCTGATTTCATAAGACCTTGACCTCTGAAAGAATCCCTTTTCACCTCTAAAAAGAGAATCGTCCATGAAGGAAACCCTTCTAGCTCATTGACGAAAGCTTGACATCTGTGTAACAAATATGAAACATCACAAGTAATGCTCTAAGATTTTTTTCTTTGAAATTGTTGTTACGAGCCCCAGCTCTCATAAGTTGTCAGTTGTATAGAGGTGGAGCCTGATTATTATACATTCTCACTCTAATAATATAATAACAATGATTATTCCCAACAACTGCAACCTTTTCCTATTTAAGAGTTCAAGAAAGCCTCAAGAAACCTGTGGTTGGTGGTTTTGGATTTTTTTTCTCTCTTTTGTACAGGATGGTGAGTGTTTGTTTAGTTATATTAGAATAGAGGGAAAGCCTAGGTATGTAAGCTGACCCGGAAGACCCTTTTGTGTTTGTTATTTTTCTCGGGAGTTAGGAAAGTTTACTCTGAGTTGTAGTTTAGATCCGTTAGCTCACCAGTTCTTAACTTCTGGATTTTTATATTTTCTGTTGTTACTTTTTGCTGCCAATTGATTTGCTATTATTATTTTTTTTTTTTTCCTGGCCATTGTGGTTTTGTTTTGGAGTTTTTCTGAAAACTGAAAAGCTTCCTGATACGTTTTTATTATTTATATTAAATGCCAATCACATTACAAATAATAAACATGACAATAGTCCAACAGCTATTGTATAGCTCACAGGCCTGGGACTGAGAGTCCTAGACAATGTCCACTGCCTTTTTAAAATCTTCAAAATTCTGTCTGTCCAGCAAGATCTGTGGACGTGGATGATTTAAAAGTATCGCAGTATGTCTCTTTTCTGTACTTTTTGTGGCCTTGAGTGGGTTGGGCACACCATGCTCAGATGTGCACTTTAACTGTAGCTGTGCCACTGTGATCTCCTTTTTGATCTGCAACGACGTGTGGCAGAGTGGATAAACAGCGATGGCAGAGTGGAGCAACAGGGTGGTGACTGAGCTGGCAGAGTGGAACAAAACAGCTCTGGCTGGGTGGAGGATGGAGGCAAACTACAAGGGACTCTCTTTTTTTTAGTCTCCTGGTATCTGCCAGAGACAGAGTGACCTCATACTGTTCTTGAGACCGGCTGGTGTGGGGCAGTTCATCAGGAAGCTTCGGTGCTGGGGGTTGGCTGTCAGAAAGAGACTGCTGACGGATGGATAGGCCTTGATCTGTGACATTTTTGGTCGACAAGGCCTCCTGTCTCCTGATGAACTCAGCAACACTTTTGGTGTTAATTTTCCACGATGGGAATCCCGGGCTTGCTGAATTCAGGGTCATCAACAGTCACCATTTGCTGGACACACTGGTACAGCTTGGTGACTTCCTGATTTTGTGGTGACCCACAAGTCTTCGCTCCACAGTTGGGGTGAAGCCACAGCTGTTTAATTAGGCAGTACTTCAGGCGGTTCTTCCGTAAAGGTCAGGATTACTGAAAGAGTCTGACAACTGGGCAAACAAATACTCAAGTCCAATACACTCATCACCAGGGGGAACAGGCGACCTGTAATTAACCTCCTCCACACTCCCATAAAAGCTCCTGGCACCTCTGGTTGAACCAATGGACAAGAGGTGACACGTAGACCAGGTGCTGCTTCGTCTTTTGGCCTTTAACCGCTGCTGACTCCTGATTGCTGTTCCAGTGTGCGATCCCAGCCAGAAGGGGACAGCGGTACAATGTGGCCCAAGAATGATTCTGGGCAGAAAGAAATGAAGACTTTAAAGGCTGTTGCTGCCTCTTACCGCCGTGTACCATGTACCATGGTACGTATTCCTCCCTGGTGGGTCCTGGATCCACTCTAGGTGTTTCTGCTGGTTCTGCTAGACATGATCCACTGTTGCTGGGTTTTTGAATAGATGCACCTGGTTCTTGTCCATACCTGCTGCTCCCTTCAGGACATCAATAGCACTTTGGCCTCACACAAAAGTCTCTTGGGCCCCCACTGTGATCCACCTGGGTATTCCACTGATGAGGTAGACCTGGTAAGGCGGTGCCGCATAGTGGGGACCTGAACATCACAACCACAGCTATTATCAGAATGATACAAAAGGGACATGTGTTGTCTTTTTTTTTAGCTGTTAAACAAGTATTTAGATTAGATTACCTGAAATCATATGGGGCAGCGACTTAAGGAACCCCTCCAGGCTGTTGCTCCCACGCAGGCCCTTATAATAGTGGAGGTCCACACTGTTGATGGTCGTGGTGCGAGCAACCCTGTACATGGCCATGCCTGGTGAGTCCTGAATGGGTTCCAGGTGTCACTGCTGGCTGGCCCACTCCCTTTCAATGGCTGCTGTAAACACAAAAACGTACAAACATGCATGGTAAGCTGTTGCCGTTTTGCACATATTGACATTGTGTGTGTGTGCATGCATGAGGTGTTTATTTTTTTACAGACGTTGAACCCAGTAGCGCCCCACAGTTTAATCTACGTCAACGGCATATGATGCTCTGTATTGAGTGTGACGTAGGTCTTTTGAGTTGTTTTTTGTCTTAACCCCTCCCCCCTCATACCTCCCCTCCCCCTCGCCACAGCTTTCTACACACTTTTTTTCAGCCTTTTTCAAATCTGAGGTGTGAACGACCGGTGCTTAAGGGGGGTTTATGACCCTTTAAGCCTTATCCGAGTAATATTAACAATTACATTCTGTACAAGAACTCTGAGTAAAAATAATAAAATAAAAGCTTACCATCATCAGATTTGCTGTTTCAAAGAGTGTAGTTGCTACTTGTGGCCATTTGTGGGTATCGCTTCTCGGCCTTTTGGCTAAGATCAAGTGTAGTATCTGTTCTTATCAGTTTAATATCTGATACGTGCCCTACCCGGGCACCATATATTAAATTGATTTTTGGATCAGGGAGATGGAATAGGGGCTTGCTCCGTCCACTCCACGCATCGACCCGGTATTGCAGTACTTCCGGGAACGGTGCACCCCCTAATGTTGTTAATGAAAGAAATGATTTTAGCTTTGCATGATAGTGGGGGGTTGTGGAAGTAGCCAGTTTAGTCTTGTGTGACAGTAGAAGGTAATAACAGCAATTTATGTTGTTGTGTATGGGTGTTAGTATAGTCTTAGTATAATGTAAATAATATGTAAGCATTCCATTCCAAGCATAATCATCATTCTACATTTACTAGTGTATATAGTGTGTGTTGTGTAGTGATGCAGCTGACTATCTTTTTTTTTGGCGTGAAACTGTAGGTTTTATTCAATGAGTGACTTGTGTGTGCAAAAGCAGTGGTTCAAAATTTGCCCCTGCCGGTAGATGCTGTAACTGCACCATTTCACATGCAAAACACGTGTCTCTTGTCTGATTGGTTGAGTCGAGTCAAATCTTCTCTATGATTGGTAGAGACAGTCGAGTGTTCAGGGAGTGTAGTTTCTCGGCCAGTTGGAAGGTCTAATTGTCTGCAGTCAGCCTAGACAGTACGACTGATGTTAAATCATCAGTCATGTTGTTTTACTTGACTATAGATTGAGTTTTTAGAGTAGATTGTGATGATTTACCATGTGTAGTGGTGTAGTGAAGTGGCGCCTCACCATGGTTGAGAATGATGTTGCCTTCAGTAACTCCTCGAGAGGGAACGTGTACAACTCATACTTACCTGGCAGGGGAGACACCATGATCATGAAGGTGGTTCACCCAGGGCGAGGCTCAGCCATTGCACTCCGGTTGTGCTGACCCCTGCGAATTCCCCAAATGTGGGAATCTCGACTGCATAATTTCTGGTAGTGGGGGACTGCGTTCGCGCTCTCCCCTGATTTAATGGTACAATAATAGAACTGAAAAATTAATAGAGACAATGAGTTATTTTTCATCTATTGGAACATTGCGATCTTCTCAACACTCTCAGACTGTAGTAGTGGGAAGTTTGGATTACTGATTAGGATCATATGGCACTTTTCCACCGCTGGTATGGCTCAACGTGGCACGGCTCTGTTCGCTTTAGCTTGGTTTGCTTTTCCATTGGAGTTTGTACCGCTTCAAAACGGGTGGGATAATAGTCTGACCATTATAGTTTATCCACTCCTTGAACTTCTCCACTATGGCACATGGCCCCAGCTTTTCCACACACTCCTCACAGGTCTGGGAGAACTCATTGCCGATGCTGGTGAACCACTCAGCCGAGCCCTTGCCCTCCCCATACAATTTCTTCACCACCTACAAAACTTGTTTAGTTTTGTTTTCCCTGTGAGTTATTGTACGTCAACACACGTGCCTTCTTTTTGGAGTCCATTTTTTAAGGATTGTACCAAATGTGGAGAGAGTCTGGCTCCGGTAGTCCTCAGCATTGTCTGCTTTGGCCAGGAGGAAGGCGTGCCGCAGGAGCTGTGCGCAAAGTAGCTCTCTGGGAAGAGTTGCCGCCTTGAACTCCCCATGACCCAACGCAGAAACGATGCCTCCGGGTTCCACAGGGGTTTATTATAAATTCCACGTTTAATTGAAAAGTTATAATACTTTTATAACCTATACAATAATTTATAACCTATAGAAAAAGGTTATAATAATTTAGTATAATTTATAACCTTATTCAATGTTTTGTTTGTTCCATGGATGCCTCATGCAGCTAAAGGCTAATAACTACTATTTTTCCTTATTATAAAAGTTACTAGTGCAACGCCTGTGCAAAAAATATTTTTTGTGTGTTTTTAGTAATTGTTGGTTTGGTATGTCTGAGTTGCTTAATAGCCTAGGCAACTATTACGCAGGAGCCTAAACTCTGAGAAAACGATAATGTTAAGCACACCAGAATAAAATATAATATTCAGAATTAAACCGTGTGGCTGACTTACAGATTCAGTTAAATTGCTACTTTTTCAAAAATGAATCGCTACTTTTTTCAAAAGTGAATCGTTAATTTATAGCGAAATTTTTAGCGAAATTTGATACTTTTTTGAAAAGAATCACTACTTTTTCAAAAAGAATTGTTACTTTTTCAGAAAAGATTTGTTAATTTTTTGGAGAAGAATTGCTACTTTTCTAAAAGAATCGCCCTTTTTTTAGAAAAGAATCGTAACTTTTTCAAAAGGAATCGCTACTTTTCCAAAAAGAATCGCTACTTTTTTCTAAAAGAATCGTAACTTTTTCGAAAAGAATTGCTATTTTTTCAAAAACAATCAAGAAATGTATATTAATAATAATGTAACAAATGTGCAAACACTGTAATAAATGTATAATTACATTTTAATAAATGTATAAATAAATGACACGTGATCACATGCTCCAAACCACTGATTTGAAAAAAAGATTTGCAAAGGTTTCAAAGCTTCGTGAATCAGAGTTACAAAATTGCCCATCACTAGTTTCAAAAGCCAGCTAAAGATTTGTTTGTCTGTATTGAAGATTAATCAACTCAACTTCAACCTTTTGAATTATGTAAAATGTAATTTTACCATCATTACATTTGTTGTGGTATTTTAATTAAAATAATATAAAAAGTAAGCAAAATAATAATAATAATAATACAATAGCAAATACCTTATTACAATTGTGAAATCTTTATGATAAAAGTTGTTCTTTTTTTTTCTTCTTTTTTTAGCCCAGTATGATCACTCTCTTTCCATCACTGAAAAAGTCTGTTTTCACAAATTCCTTTGTTTATCTTCATAAACTGGCCTAATTATGTGTGTTTTTTTATTTGTAATTCTATGTTTTTAACACTAGGGGATGCTATGCATACATTTATTTTTCTCATGGCAAGCTGACTTTTTTTTAACAATTTTTTGTAGAAGTGCCATTCTTTCTGAAAATGATTGAACTCGAGCCATTTTACCTTTGAAAGCTGGAGTGATCTTTCATTTTCCATAAATTGTATATAATCAAGCAGCTTGGTTGTTTTTGTACTGAAACCACATTGTGAGAGAAAAAATAGCACAAGAGCCTACCAATTTTGTGAAATTACAGTATTTGAAATGTATTTAATGTAACATTTAAGGAAAAAAAAATACACAACACTGTACATGATATAAGAAAATATATGACAAAATATTATTGACAAAGCCTTAAAATATATTTGCTTATTGTATGAGGCCAATAGTGTTTGTTATACATAGAATACATGCACAACATTTTTGGATATTTGAATTTGATTATTCTATAAATGTCAAGTACTGAAAATATGCAATAACAAACAGACGAACGTGGTGTGTCTGGCTATAAAACATGTTAATCAGTGAGTAAGAATTCCTTATGACACATTAAAATCCCCACAATATATATATATATCACACAAAAAGTAGTGTCTTTCCATACTTAACATATCTCGAGTACTAGTCCTTTGCGTTTAAACCCACACTTTTCCCTTCCCTTCTTTTTTCCCAGATTGCTGTCCACAGCATCCCCCTGCCAGGCCGCGGTGCTGGGTAGCGGGAAGGTTTTTGTAAACGGCCCGGCTGTAAGGGATAAAACACAGACCCAGCTGAAGGTGCCGAGCGAGCCGACAGTACGCAGCCAAGGCCAGAACCAAGAGTGGAGTCACTAGCAAGAAACCCACAACCAGCAGAGCCACGCAGCCCCCGTCATTCAGCAGGTCCGAGCAGTACGGCAGCGATCCGTGCGGGCGCACCTGCACACAGAGACATTTGACCATTTTTGTTAATTTACATCCATTCTTTGTGCTAAGCTAGGCTAGCAGTGGATGTGTGTCAGACAGAGTTACGACACTCACGGAGATGGAAAGGGTATGTATGGACTTATCTAACTCTGGGGGAAGAGGTGGAATGTGTGTGTAGGCGTTGCTGAGGAGGTTCTCCCTGGAGGAGGAATGAGTCTCTGAGGTGTGGACAGACAAACAACAGATAGACTGGGCAAGAATGTTTGCAGACAGCACATATGCTCATTTTCCTTAGTGAGCTGATCATTCGTTACGTCCATCTGTAGATTTACATGCATCCAAGAAAAAAACACTTACATTTTCTCAAAAAACACTTTAATGTTCTTATGATATTTATTGCACTTATGATATTTATTGCACATCACCTCAGTTCTCAAAGATTTTGAAGATTCTTTGTTTGAAGATTCACTCTCCAAATCCCTCCTTTCTGAGAGTCTGCTCTGATTGATCAGATGGCTCAATCTGTTGTGATGGGTCTACTCTGCTCTGATTGGTCAGATGGCCCAGTATGTTGTGATTGGTCTACTCTGATTGGTCAAATGGCTCAGTCTGCTGTGATTGGTTTTCTCTGCTTTCATTGGTCAGATGGCTCAGTCTGTTGTGATTCGTCTGCTCTGATTGGTCAGATGGCTCAGTCTGTTGTGATTGGTCTACCCTGCTCTGATTGGTCAGATGGCTCAGTCTGTTGTGATTGGTCTGCTCTGATTGGTCAGATGGCTCAGTCTGTCGTGATTGGTCTACCCTGCTCTGATTGGTCAGATGGCTCAGTCTGTTGTGGTCGATGTTTTCACTTACAGTGTACCGAAATACCTATTATCATATCTGAATTTCAGCTCTGGATCTTCCTCAGCGTTTGATACACAGTTATGCCATACGTTTTTTCCGTACCAATTCCTTTAGAAGTGCATTCAAAGTGGATTCACAGTGCTGAAAACAACACGAACCAAACTCTTCCAGTCTCAGCTACAACTTCGGTGTTTGAGAGTCACAGTAGACGTTGTTCACAGGCAGCCAATGAACACCATAGACTCGCATTATGCAAATGAGTTACATTGTTGAGAGAAACTGGATTTACTGACGACTCATTTCAGCAGTTCAGAATTGATTCTTTCAGGAGACAATAACTTTACTTGGACTAATAACTAATAACTTTGACTAAAATGTTTTTATGTTTTTACTTTGGCTAAAATTACTAATAACATAACTTTGTCGTGCACTTTGATCTTTAAAACTTTGCAGGCTTTTTAAAGTCACAAACAGCATTTACACACTGCATGAAAAGTAACATTTGAAAAAAGCATAATAGAGGCACTTTAAAGAATGTTTTTTTTTCTTTGAGCTACCTGATCACTACAAAAATGTATGAGAATTTGCTTTTTTTCACGAGTATGTTGCATATTTATCTTTGGATGATCCGCCAACTTGCCTGAAGCTGCAATAGTAATACTATATGTTTAGACAGATGCCAAATTTTAGTTGTCCACAGTGATTCTTTGGTTAAATAGCATTGCACAGGAGGAAGGTTGAGGGATGACCCCCTCATTCTTTATCTTTTCCCCTGTGAGATGGAGGGAAGCAGAGTTTTAAAAGAGCGTCTGAGTAAACAGGGAGTATGAGGGTGAAAAACTGATAAAGCGCATCTGTGTTCAGATCTGCTCTTTCTCACTCTGACAGGTTTCTTCACTCAAGAGATGCTTGTAAAAATCACAGTTAAATACAGTCGTACTTAAAGCTGCAGTTTGTAGCTTTTTTTGGGGTTAAAAATTATCCAAAATACATATTTGAGAAAATACATAACCAGCCAGTGTTCAACACTATCTGCTTGCCTTAGCGTTGTGCCGTGTCGAGGGTGTTGAAGTACAACTCACGTAAAGTTGATAATTCCGCAAATAACTGCAATTGCAGATTTCGAACAGAGATGGCGATAAAGAGGAAAAACTCCGGACTGCAGCTTTAACCAATATTAAGCCAGTGTTTCTCGACTGGTAGATCACGGCGTCAACTGTCAAAGAAACTTCAACAACAAAAAACGTAGACGGAAGTGTACACTGTAAAAAATAATAGTGATTTTAACGCTAAAAGACTGTAAAAATGCTACATTGCAAAACTGTTAATTGGTTAACAAAAAGTTTCCATACTATATACAGTAAATAACTGTGATGGATCTCATGGTACATTTAATTCAATTTTACTGTAAAATACGATTAAATTTACAGTGAAAAAAATGTAAATTGACATTCCCATAATTCCCTGTGTGATACTTCACATTTTATGTATTTTTGTTGAAATAAAGGTTTCCTCATAGTTTTCCTGTTTTTTTTTCAGTTATTTTTTATTTCATGTGTGTTACCATGATGTTGTTTAATGTTTGTGTGAATCAAACTGTGTAGCTTCTTTAAACAAGTATAAACCTTGTGGAAGAGCTGCTTGTGATGAGCTTTGATTGATCATGTTACTCACATCGCTGCTGTGAAGATTGATGGTTGTTAGTGTATTATAATGGTACAAAACAGATATCAATTATTTAATAGGTTGGTAAATTAACATTATGTCAGGTAGTGAAATATGGTTTATTATTGTAAATTTTAAGTTAAGTCTGTAAAACCAGTAGCATTTTTTGACAGTAAAGTTCTGGCAACCACAGCTGCCGTTTTTTTTACCGTAAAAATTATGGTTTTATTTTTTACAGTGCATTTGGGATAAGAGACTTTTGATTTTCAAAGATGCTCGTGAAAGTGTACAGAATTTTTGTCAGACATGCCCGAGAAAAACGGAGCAGTTTCCATTGTTTCTTTAACCATTCATGTTGGTATTATAATATTCAACATGGCAACTGCTGTTTTCACAACCCCAAAATGCCAATTTATTTTCACATTGTGTATTTTTTTTATAACTGTGGTGGCTTACAAATTTACCAACCTTATTGTAGCAAAAACTAGTTTGGGTCTGCTAATACTGTTTATTCGTCAGTGTTAGTCATATTCTTACAATTTAACAAAAAGACACTAGTGTGTTTCAATAATTTTTGTGAAAAAAAGAAATGTGCTTGTTTTTTTGTTTAAAAAAACAAGTGGGTTGATGACCATAGGATAATTGGGTCCCATGGTCAAACCACTACAGTAAGAAAAATGTCTACATTCTGAACAATTTTGCAAGTATTTAGATGTTCTACAGGTGGAGCAATGAAGGGGTGTGTTTATTTGGTTGTCAATTTCATGATTTACTGCACCTAATGTCACATTGATTTGTATAGATCTTTTCACGATACAAATAGTCTCAATTATCCTCTTCACTCACCCTATTATTTGTCTTTAACAGACATCTGAGGAGTCGACTGCTTATGTGAAGTGACAAACTATACACACCATGGTGGTCTGCTGTTCCCTACAGATCTTTGAGTTTATCTCTCATTCATATGTGTCACATGGGGACTAATTGGTCTCAGTGGCCATTGATCTTTGATCTTAAGGTCTGGTAATCGGAGAGGCTGGAAGAATTCAGCCTTTATTTACATACACTGACCCTTACTGACCCATGGGTGCTGTGTGACGTTAGCTTAAGCTGTTTTCTTCTAGCAAGAGACAAAGAGCATGTGAGATGGAGGGTCTGTATCTTGCAGAATATTGTCTGTTCATTTTGTAGTAGTGTTTGAGAGAGAAGTATACAATCTTCTCTTCTGTGAGTCAAAGTGCAAGATTGCCTAGTCACTATACAACTTTGTGAGAGAGCTTTTTTTCTCATTAAACTCGTGTCCTGAAACACTTCTCATCTGACGTCATCTTCAAACTCCTGACCTGCCCCTGCTAATACTCCTGCACTCAAACTGCTGAGAAATGCCCGAGATTAAGAGATTACTTGGTGAATCAAAGAGAAACAGAGGACAAACTCCCATAAATCCCTAAGAGAATATCTCTGAATCATGATTAGCTTTTATTCTGAGTCTTTTTTCCCAGATTATAGAGGACATTCCTTTAGTGCTGCTAACACTGTTTTGCATAAATTACTTTTGTTAAATAGCTCTAACTTCATCTCACTTTGATTAATGCAATGCCCTGTTTTCTACTTCAAACCCTTTACACTAAATTTTGACACGCAATATGTCTTCATAGGACTTATTTTAAGTTTATTTTAAGGTCTTCTATTCATGAAGTGTTGGCTGTCCCAAGATATAAATATAAAACTAAAGCATTTGCTGTGAAGACACCATTATGAAATTATCTTTACGTTGATATTAGATCTGTAAAATCTGTGTCTGTTTTGTATAGACCTGCTTTTATTACTTAGTGAAGTTTTTGTTAATGTGTTTTTGTTTGTTTATGGTATTTTTGGCATAATGTAGCTATAGACCATTTCACAAGATGTAAACAACACCGGTCCAGAAGCACTTCCGGTTTCAGTTTGTAACTGTTTTCTTTATTTCACATGTAAAGAAAACATCTTAAAGATGTTTGTTTAACTTTTGATTCAGTTTTAAATGTTCTGTTGGTTGTATTTTATCCCAGCTTTTATGTAGTGTTAAAAAACTGAAACAGGAAGTGCTTCTGGACCAGTGTTGTTTACATCTTGTGAAATGGTCTATAATGTTGTATAAAGGAAGCGTTTTTAAAATGATTTAACTTTTTTCACTCCATTCTCGGTTCTGAATAAACTGAGAATCAAAGATGTTTTTCTTTAAAGTAGATATTATGATGCTCTCGTGATTTTGAATAGACAACTAAACAAAACATTTATTTATTTTTAAATATTTCATATATATATATCTATCATATAACATGATGTCCTCATCATGTTTACGGTCGTGTCCAAAATCATTTCACTCTTCCTCCAAAAACAGCCTTTTCATACACTTGGCATCTCATGTATGTGACCCTGGACCACAAAACATGGGTAAAAATTGAACCAGAAACAAATATTTATTCAGCTTTCATATTATGATTTATGCATAATCTGAAAGCTGAATAAATAAGTTTTCCATTGATGGATGGTTTGTTGGGATAGGACATCTGAGAATCCGAGGGTGCGAAAAAATCGCCTTTAAAGTCCATTTATCTTAGCTGGATTCACTCACAAAAATAAATTGTTTATATATTTACGATACAAAAATCTCCAAAACATCTTCATGGAACATGATCTTTACTTAATAGCCTAATGATTTTTGGCATAAAAGAAAAATTTGTGTGTATATATATATATATATACAGGGTTCGTACGGGTGCTTGAAATCCTTGAAAATGCTTGAATTTTGATGTTGTGTTTTCAAGGTTTGAAAAGTGCTTAAATTTTGGATAAAATGCTTGAAAGTGCTTGAAATTGTAACTGTTTCTTTCACAACAAATACCTATCTGACTGAATATTTTGTTTATTAAATGCCGAAATAAATCGTTTGATGCGGCCCGAGCGCGTTTGTTACCGGCGCCCCCCGCAGCGTTGGCCTGGTTTCACACTCAACTTGATTCTATCAAATCCTGGTGCGTTTGCGTGCAACTTACGTCATCACAAACGTGCACGACGCATGATAGAAAACAGAACACGGGTCAATATATTGTGTTATTATGCGCAGCTGAATGAACAACAGGTTTACTGTGTATCGCATTTGGCTCTCTGCTGCTTGCAAACGCAGGAGACAGTGGACTTCTAATTTGTTAGCCTGAGTCCACGCGCTATATGTGTGTGCGAATACACTGTAGACTTACTCTCGCTCGTATCCAAGGTCAATCAACACTATCATCCTTTATACATGTGTTTTTATTTTACATCATAATCAGCTAAAAGTAAAACGCATGCACAGGTCACTTTACTAAGTGCGCACCCGAGTCCGTGATTCTTTCACATTCACGCGAACCGCGGCACGGTTCGGGAGCAGCCGAACTCGGAGCACCTCCTCCAGGTAGTTTTGGATTCGGTACCTGAGGCAAAATTACTAAATATGCAGCGCCAATTATAAATTTCTAACTCTAAACAATTGGCCTCTGAACCAGCTGATAAAATCTTCATTTGATTCGATCCGTGATACAACCTGACGCTCAAATGAACCGATCGCATTTTACTGATGCAAAGGACGCGCGCGCACACACACACTGAGAGGGATCTCGGTGTTTCAGTGTGTACCGCGGCTGTGGTGACATATTAAATAATGACGCAGTTATAAGGTGTGTATAATATAGGTGTGTATAACTGTCAACATTAACAGTAGCTGCTGTACGGTTTTCATACTGCTGCTCTCCTTCTAGTCACTTCTGAACTTGACACAACTGATTCTGAACGTCTCTTGAAAGCTCCAGGTACAAAAAGAGCAGAACAAGCCCCTTAAAAAACGAAGTATAATAAGCAGACATGGCAAAAAATGTACCGGGGAACACATTTAAACATAATAGTATTGCTAATATTATCCTACCAAATTAAAAGGAAGTTACTAAATTATTATGAATAGAATAGTTCAAAATAAAATATTTTGATATTATAAACTGATTGATAAGGTAAAGCAATAACATGAGATTGAAAAATGATTCAGCAACACTTTATTTAAAGTTTAATTGCACCTATGAGTTGTATTTAATATCAGTCAGTTGGGGGAAGTTCTTCTAAAAGTTAATATGTTTTTTTCACTATATTTAGCTATCAAAATAGTTTGCCAAATAAGGGAAAGAACTTTTCATTTCTGGATTTATTTAGTATACAAAGCCCTTTATGATGATTTTTGGAGAATAACTACATGTATAAATAACTATAACGTGAAATATATCGTTACCGTGAAATAAAATTAGTCATACCGTGAAACAGAATTTTGGTCATACCGGCCTCCCCTACTGCATGTCATTTGGATCAAATCCTCTAACAACATTTTGAAAAATAAAACCTGTGTTTTGCTTCAATATCTGATCCTTCTGCTATTACGAAACACAATTTTGTCTGTTTATTTCATACTATCTCTTTTAATGTGGAAAAACCGCAAAATAATATTTTTTTACTATGTATTGGTTTGTAATTTACGGTGAATAAGGTCCTGGAAAAAACTTTAAAATGGACCTTGAAAGTGTTTGAAAAGTGCTTGAATTTGACCTTGGAAAAGGTGTACGAACCCTGTATATATTTATATATTTATTTTAAAACGCTTTGTCCGCTTATTTATTTAGACAGTTTTCAGGTTGTGTTTTGCTCCTTTGTCTATACGTAATGTCTTATCAACTTTGAGCTGCGTTTTTACTCTCATGTTCAAAATCATTTGCCGTCACATCCTTCCATAAATTCGGTACATGGTATTTTATTTTGATATTTTGAGCAGTTTTTTTTAACGCACTTCTCCCAAATCTTACCGTTGAATGACAGAGAAAGCCGAACACCACCATGACAATAGCAGGAGTGAGGATGAGGCCGAAGACACAGCCGGCCAGGCAGGCGTTGATGGCGGCGATCAGCAGGTTCTGCGCTGTCACCAGCACTGAACACGCCCAGCAGTCCAGAGACCCCCGCAGCTCCAGCGGACCCTCCGCAGCCGAGTACGGCGGCGGCACCACCACCCCGGACCCCCCCACCGGGGTCCCGGCGGGCACAGTCGAGGTAAGGGAGTTTGTGTGCTGGAAACTGGGGTGATGGTGATGGTGGTGATGGGTGTTGGTTGGGAGCTCTTCGGAAAGGTCGAGGGCCTGGTGATGAGCCCCCTTCTCCAGTGTGCCATTCATGCTCATCTTGATCTAAGGGCGAAAAATATCAAAATTGAAAGTACTGTGGAAACAATAACACCTACATCTTGGACGCCCTTGAGGTAAGCTAAAACATATCAACAATTAATTTTAAAGTGAACTATCTCTTTAAACAAATTAGTTCAATCAAATTAACTTTTGTGAGTGTTTAGAACTTTCTTTTTCTTTTGAGTTCATAAAACTAACACAGTTTAAGTGATCTGAATTGTGTTCTGGTTTTGAGTTTTATGAACTTGTTTCTTTTAATTTATATTGAACTGAATCTGGGCTGGGATTTCTATTTTCCAGCATGCTTTGCCATGACGCTCAAAAGTGAGAGTAAATGCTATATAATGTTTTTGGTGCAAGATTAATGTAAAGTGGGAGATTTAGTAGCGTTTGATGTTTTGTTTTGCTAGTTTAGAAGAGTTTCTATTATGTTTGTTTTTTGTAGGGTTAACCTGGCATGAGTTTAGTTTGAGAACAAATATATATTACATGTTGAATGAGAACAATAACATGAAACAAGTGCTATGTTGCTATCAAGGAATTGTGTTACTAAGCATTTATTGAATTAGCCACTTAAAGCTATAAGTTTCCAGGTTACAACGTACATGATCATTTTAAGGTAAATGTATAAATTAGTGATTTACTGTGAATGAAGTGTATGAATTACTCAATTATATTTCAATTATAATTATTCAATTATATTATATTTCAAGTTAGGAACAAAATAAAAAAAAAATAAGTTCTGCGTACTTACAATTTTTTAAGTTAAGAAATTTAAAGTTTATGTAGTCTAACTGATTACTTCAAATTTGAGTTTTGCCAACTTATTCGGTTTTACATCGGATAAAAGCGTCTGCTAAATGCGTAAATGTAATGTTTGCAATTTAAATGCATTGTTTCGCCAATCATAATTATAAATTTGGGCCTTAGCGACCCAGATCTACAACATTTGAAGTGAATCAAACCTTTCATCAAAGTTATACATGAATTTTGAACAATACCCGCTCCTGTCTTAGGAGAACTTTGATGAACTTTTTTTTTTTTAACAGACTACTGCACATCTAACATGGAAATCTCTTATGATATTTTATTAAAAGTTATGAAAGAATAAAATAAAAGCATTATTCGTTACCTTTCAGAACTTGAAAGGATTAAATTTGAGCAGATGTTTTTATCATCATCAGAGCTCATTCACATCTGGCTCGTGATTGTGATTTGTGTTCGCTAACAACAGTGGCTGCAGGAAACGGTTATTTCACTCTGAGCGATTGTTTGTAAATCTAAAAAAGGTTGTTACTTTGGTGGATGTGTTCATAGCGTCTGTTTTGCTCTGTTTACTAAAGTTCAGAGTAAGGTTAAATCACTTATCGCCAGGAAACTAGGGTTGTATGATCCTTTAATTAGGTCTTTAATCAGAGACTGATTGTTATCTCAAAGCCAATTGGCCCTTTGTGCCGGAAACTAATTGGTATGGCGATATGATGAAGTGATGAAGAATGAGAAGCCTTGACATCGCATCACACACATCTGGAGATTTGATCGCTTTTATCATGTGTATGGATTTGTATGTCACCCCCCCAAAAAAAAAATATATATATATAATAATATTTTTTTATAATTAAGCCCCAATCACTGTTTCACTTTTAATGTTTATATAATTTATTTATTCTAAATGACGTTAATATTCTAAACGCGTTAATATTCTAAACGCTGATTTATTTGTCAAATAGTGATGAGATTCATCCTTGGCGACACAATGATTGTTAGAAAAATAAAATCAGCATTAACAACAAATGTTACTATGATGAAAAAAATATATATTTTTTTATTTTTTTCAGAGTACAGAAATAAAAAATTCACAATGCTAAAATCCTTATGATCCTTAAGAGGCTTAATGTTCTTTATGCATGTTTTTTGTACGTTTTCTAAACTTTATGTTAGTCAAAATCTATAAACGTCATTTAAATTGCAAATCAGAAAATGTCACTTTTATTGTCATAATCTCTTCCAAAAATTGTCTTGCATCTGATGACACTCTAACAATCAAAGCCATAAAGATACAAATTTAGCACAATCACCATAATAATAGTACTAATAATAATAAAGATGCAGAACTGGCTGAATATACCTTTCAGACCTGAACTCTGAGACCTGGAACCCCAACTCTAATTTAATCATTTTACAGGCTGTTTATATATACATACATGCATACATACAGCTGTGGATAGACATCCCCCCTCCCTCTCCCCTGGTTTGACTGACTGACTATCCAGATAGGACTCCAGAACAATAGGCCGAGGTCAAACTACATAAATACTTTACACGCCAGACAGCTGTGGCCTCAATGCCATGCGCTAATCATCTAAATATGGATACAGGATGCTCTCCGACTCTAACACACACACATACACTCTCATCCTTAAACACTAGATCCTGAATATGCCATCGGTGATGCTGCATGATGAGGGTGACATGCACACGTTTTCGCGCTTGCTGACCGTTGTGTTGTCTTCCTGCCTTTGTATTCTGTTTGTTAGCGCCTAATCGATCACCCCTCACAGGAAACCTGAACACAAGCGCACAGCATGCCAAACCTGGAGAAACACACACTGCTCCACCCGATAACACGGTTTCCACTTTTCTGGGAATCACACAATTGAGAATTAATCTGGCGAAAATACTTAGAAAGCAGCCATATTTATGCATAAAGAACAAATGAGCTACTGTAGAGGTGGAAATGTTTTGACTTTGCTATTTATATTTGGTTTGATGTGATCTTATACTGATTCGTTACATTTTTTTTGATCAAGGCCTGCTTCTACTTAATTATTGTATTTCATGAATCCAGTATAACTTCACTTGTAAATACGTAGCTCATTAATGAAACTAATGCCATGGAATTAGCCAATATATTCATAACTTAACCGGCGAGATTATGAAAAAAAATCAGTGTATACCCCTTCTCCTCCCCAGCACCACCTGTCCTGTAGACATCGTTTTTTTATATATATGTTTGCAGCCGCATGTACTTTTATGTATATATTTAAGAATTTCACAAAAAGTAACAGATCTCGTCCGCCGAAATTAAGCAAGTACTTTCCATGCCCAATGCCAATAAATGCTTGTTAAATAATTCACTTCTTTAAATGAAAGGTATCAGCACTTGCAACTCTCCACACTATAAGTGCACATGCATTGTCGCTGATCTAACGGTTATGTGAATTAATGTTAAATAAGCAATCAAACAGATCTGTGAATTCCAAGCATGTGGCCTCTGATAGGTCAGTCTCACACACACACACACACACACACCTTATCAGCCCTCTGCACCCCCACTCACCCGATGCTGAGAGTCCAGTAGTCCTCTTCTTCTCGTTGCCTTTGTCTAACTCAACATGCACTCTCTGTTTTTTGTTCTTTTTTGGAATTCCTTCTTCAAAAAGTTCTAGAATCTTTAAAGTTCTAAAAACGTTTTTCCTTGACTGACCCTTGCTCTCATTTCTGTGTAGCTGTTTTCGTCTGTGTGTGTGTGTGTGTGTGTGTGTGTCCACTCGCTGTGTGTTAGTGAGGCAGACTGAGATATGGATGTATCCTGCCTGGCAGTTATAGCGGTGCCTTTCTCTGTGCCTCCCTCATGCCCCCTCCCCCTTTTCCTCACCCTTCTGCTCTCCTCTCACTCCCTTTCTTTACTTTTTGTATGGGGGAAGGAATGTTTATATAAAGAGCTGAAGTCAAGACTTAAATTACTGCTGATGGATAGAGAGGACATGCAACCACCTCGCATTTACACCACATCTTCCACACCTCCTTTCTCCTCCGCTCGAAACATAAACTGCTCTGACCACATGGTGCCAAGTGTTGTTTTCCTGTAATCTTGTGGTAGTTTGATTGATATTGCACAAGTTACCATAAACTCATGTTATCCGTTAGCACTTGTTATGCAACAATTAGTATTTTAGGGGACATTTCAGGGATAAAAAACAAAACAAAAACAAAAAACAGTTTGCATACATTTTTTGATTTTTAATGTACTTCTAATGTAATTACGTTCAACTAACGAACTACATTGGCTTAGAGGAACTTAATTCGTAGCATGAATGGACACAAATTTTTAAGTTGATAACTCGAAAAAAAATAAATGGTTCATTTTTGTATTTCCATTCAGTTAGTATAACACATGGTTCATGTGACTTGTTTAAGCTTCAAGGTACAAGTTTGTATTTATTTATATAGCATGTTTAATAACAGCAAACAGGGCTGAAAGACAATATACATAGCTATTGTTTAGCACGTACATTTTATGAGTAAGTGATTACTTGTCACTGGCATTTGCTCAATGGTCACCACAAAAACCCCAACATAACTGACTAACATAACAGCATTAAACACTAACAGGTCTTTACTTTCACTAAAAAAACCCCAAACAAATAAAATAACACTTACTTTTAACATTTAATCTCCTGATCCAGTCATGTGTAAAGCATACTGGGATCTAGAATTGAACTGCCCCAAGACAAGTTACTGTAGCTACTGTAGTTCTCAAAAACAATTTGAGATTTTGCGTTTAAATTACCTACAATATTAAGTTAATGTAATGATCAACATTATTACGTCAACAGAACACAAAATAATGTTCACTTCAAAATGGCCCATATACATAAAACACTGGCTTGTTCATCATAACGTTAACACATTTTCATGACATTTGATATATATGTATATACACTCACCGGCCACTTTATTAGGTACACCTGTCCAACTGCTCGTTCACACTTAATTTCTAAGCAGCCAATCACATGGCGGCAACTCAGTGCATTTAGGCATGTAGACATGGTCAAGACAATCTCCTGCAGTTCAAACCGAGCATCAGTATGGGGAAGAAAGGTGATTTGAGTGACTTTGAACGTGGCATGATTGTTGGTGCCAGAAGGGCTGGTCTGAGTATTTCAGAAACTGCTAATCTACTGGGATTTTCACGCACAACCATCTCTAGGGTTTACAGAGAATGGTCCGAAAAAGAAAAAAACATCCAGTGAGCGGCAGTTCTGTGGGCGGAAATGCCTTGTTGATGCCAGAGGTCAGAGGAGAATGGTCAGACTGGTTCAAGCTGATAGAAGGGCAACAGTGATGCAAATAACCACCCGTTACAACCAAGGTGGGCAGAAGAGCATCTCTGAACGCACAGTACGTTGAACTTTGAGGCAGATGGGCTACAGCAGCAGAAGACCACACCGGGTGCCACTCCTTTCAGCTAAGAACAGGAAACTGAGGCTACAATTTGCACAAGCTCATCGAAATTGGACAATAGAAGATTGGAAAAACGTTGCCTGGTCTGATGAGTCTCGATTTCTGCTGCGACATTCGGATGGTAGGGTCAGAATTTGGCGTCTACAACATGAAAGCATGGATCCATCCTGCCTTGTATCAACGGTTCAGGCTGGTGGTGGTGGTGTCATGGTGTGGGGAATATTTTCTTGGCACTCTTTGGGCCCCTTGGTACCAATTGAGCATCGTTGCAACACCACAGCCTACCTGAGTATTGTTGCTGACCATGTCCATCCCTTTATGACCACAATGTACCCAACTTCTGATGGCTACTTTCAGCAGGATAATGCGCCATGTCATAAAGCTGGAATCATCTCAGACCGGTTTCTTGAACATGACAATGAGTTCGCTGTACTCAAATGGCCTCCACAGTCACCAGATCTCAATCCAATAGAGCATCTTTGGGATGTGGTGGAACGGGAGATTCGCATCATGGATGTGCAGCCGACAAATCTGCGGCAACTGTGTGATGCCATCATGTCAATATGGACCAAACTCCCTGAGGAATGCTTCCAGCACCTTGTTGAATCTATACCACGAAGAATTGAGGCAGTTCTGAAGGCAAAAGGGGGTCCAACCCGTTACTAGCATGGGGTACCTAATAAAGTGGCCGGTGAGTGTATATATATATGTGTATATATATATGTGTATATATACAGTGTTGCCACAGTTACTTTGAAAAAGTAACTAAGTTATTTTACAAGTTACTTGATTTTTAAAGTAACTAAGTTACTTTACAAGTTACTTGATTTTAAAAGTAACTAAGTTACTTACAAGTTACTTTTATTAGTTACATTCAGCAGTTGCCGACAACACACCCTCAACATAACGACCTCAACATAAAAAAAAACACACAACGTCAACATAAAAATTATAACCGGTTTTGCCAACATTCACTTTATTGGAAGTGTATTTTTAACAGTAACATCAACAATCTATCTCCTGTCATTTAAAGTTTAGCTTAAAAACTATTTCCTGAAAAAAACATTTTTTACCAAAAAAAAAAAAAAAAAGTCTTTCTTGACTTAACTTAAGTCTTTCTTCACCTCACTTAACATAAATACTTGTTTTTATAAAAAATAAAATAAAGACAGCCTTTCTTGTCTTCACTTAACATAAATACTTGTCTTTATAAAAATTTAAAATATAGACTAGGCTATACAATTTCTTGACCTGAAATATTTAACAGTTAACACTGTGACAACTTACTATTTATAATCTGCATTTTTTATTTTTTTATCTTTATTTTTTATCTTATGTTTAATCCCATGTTATGAGTTAAGGAGAGAGGCGAGTAAAACCAGTGGTTGTACATCATTAACAGAAGCTTCTCAAACCTCTCGGGTTGAAACGAAGGCGACCGTGTTTAATCGCAGCATTTCCTCCACAACAAACTGCCCGACCAACTTCTTCAACTCCCCCCACTTACTGGTTTTGCAACGAAGTCCAGCTTTTGCTTTTGTGGTGGGGAACCTGCTCTCTGCTTCGCATCACCTGGCGTGACTTGCTCTGTAAGTTTGGCTGTGCGGTGCTGCGAATCCAAATGTTTTTTGTTTGTTTTTTGTTTTTTTCAAATTTGACGAAGTGTTTCTGTAGGTAGATAACACTTTGTCACCGCCAGCAGTTTACAACCGACCTTAATGTTGCCGTCTTTAGCTGAGACAAACTCAAAATAGTGACTGTATTTCCAGCTAGAAAAAGCGCATCTCTCTCCTCCCTCCAACGTTGTTTACATTTGTGTCGCTGCGTGCGTGGTACACGTGACGCGAACCTCATTCTGAAAACGTGACTTGTCGCGCACACTCCCCGAGATGCAAGAAGAAATAAATATATGTATTTACTAAGGAAAATTACAAAAATAGTAACGCACAGTGACCTGGATAAGTAACTTTAATCTGATTACTGGTTTCGAAATAGTAACGCGTTATATTACTCGTTACTGAGAAAAGGGGTCAAATTAGAATAACGCGTTACTTAGTAACGCGTTACCGGCATCACTGTATATATATATAGGTTTTACTATTAGAAATGAAAAGAATTTTGGACCTCCAATCTTATATCATTTCAGCCTCAATTCTCTCTGCTCTTTGGCCAAAAGTGATATTTAACTTTATTAAGTTTTATTAAAATATGAGAAAAAAATGCTATTAAAATTAAAATGTTACACATGGTTAAGGTTTTATTTATTTGACAAAATTATTTGGACAAAATTTTTTTTTTAAAAATGCATAGAAAAACAAAACGTTCCAAGGAAAAAGCTCAACGTAATCAGTTATTAATATTTCGTTGGTTTTCTCTTGTTTTTGCATGTTTATAATGTCTTTGTATGACAGCCTGGCCAGAACGAAATCCGCACAATTTGCCGTGTTTCATTGTGATATCATAAATATAACGATCGACCCCGAGCAAAACTATGCAATATGCTATAAAATCCTTTTTAATAATAAAAACTATTTTTTAATGTATTTCCTAGGCTCCTGTTTTTCAATTTTGGCCACTATTGTAGAACAATATTTATATTTTTAAAAAAAATTATATTTTCAAATTTTGCAGTTATTTTACTCATACTGAGAGTATATCAAGGTTGCGATCATGATGTGGAATTAGACTGATAGTCTGAGGTCCGATAAACAAACAAAAAAAGATTTATTATAAAAAATGAAAATTAATTAAAAGAGTGATTTAAAAAAAAACTTTTTTACTGATCAGCTTATAAAAAAAGTAAAAGTGTAAAAAGTACATTTCTGCAACATTTAAGAGCAAGAACAACTTTCCAGTCGCCCCCCCCCCCCCCCCCCTAATCCAGACCAAGGCTATCTTCAAAGGTTAACATGGTTTAAAGTTGAAGAGTTAGGCGAGTGAGGCTGATCAGATTGCAGTTTTTGTCCACATGGGAAAAGAACAGAAAGGTTTTACAAACAACTGATGGCAAAGACAGATCTTAGAGAAGGATGGAGTGGAGCAGCTCTCCTTCATGATGAAAAGAGTATCTGCAAATACAGAGGGAGTGGATACACAGGAGGAATACTGATAATAACCCATCACACACACACACATCAGAACAAATTGATGTTTCCCACTGCCCATGTTTCCTCACGGTCAAGAAAAGATAAAACCTGGGAAAATATGCAATGCTTATAGAAGCGCTGAACAGGACTGACCCTACTGAAGATATAACAAGACTGAAGATATCTACAAAAATATAACTTTGTCAAGGTTCGCTGCAAATAGTAAAAAAAAAATGTTTTTGAGTGATTTGC